AGATATTACATGTTATAATTTATCAGATATTACATGTTATAATTTATCAGATATTACATGTTATAATTTATTAGATATTACATGTTATAATTTATCAGATATTACATGTTATAATTTCAGATGATCATGTGACTTGGCCTGATGAAGACCTGAACCCCAGGTGTTTGTTTTACCTTGTCTCTAACCTTACTGACATGAGAGTGGAGGGAATCAATCAGATGAAGTCAGAAGAACACTGCTGGCAGAATGGACTCATTGCTGGTCCTGGGTCAGCATGGTGTGGACCCCGGTCTGGTCTGAGTGTAGAACCGGGGTGCACAGCAGATCTGGGTCAGAATCCGAGCTGAAATCAAACCTGTTGGATTGGGTCAGGAAGACAACAACTTCCTGTTGTCCACAAATCTCACAGAGCTTTAAGCTGAGTCAAACGTTTCACTGAATTCATAAATAGAATCGAGTAAAACAGAATAGAAACAGATGGTGTCACTGCACACAACAGGACAAATGAACCATGAAACACCGTCTTTAAAGAAATATCATCTTTAATATGCTACATGACAGAAATATAGAAAAGTCTCATCAAACAATTCTCTCAGTTTGTCACAATAAGCTACACAACAAACTGTACACACATTTCAAATCTACACTTTGAAAGGAACATTCTGGAGGTTTTTGGTGACATCATATTTTTATCCAGTGTTACATTTACATTGAAATGTTCTCCAAATACTTGTTTTGTTCTTCAGTGCTAAACGTGAGGTGCTGTCAGGAGGAAGGTTTGGATGAAGCTTGTAGTTACAGACATTTGCAGTAAAGCTTTGTGAGAAAAAAACTCTGTAGAACTGGAACTTTCTGATAAGTTGTCTTTGTTATATTTTAGGAGAAAATGTGAATAATGTGTAGTTTGTATAAAACACAATCATGTTGTGTGATTGTCATTTTGGCAAATGCTTCTTATTACATCAAGTTTTAAAATCATAAACAAATCCTAAACTAACCCCTAACCAGGTTCCTGAGTCCACATAAAAACACTAACAAACTACAAAACAACAAAATAAATATGAACAATTTCAATGAAAAAGTAATAAGTTAAAGCAGAACAAAGCAAACAGTTTTCTACCTGAGAGGAAGAACTTTATAAACATCACAGCTTTTTAACAAYAGGTCACATCTCAGACCCGTTCTTTGGACTTCTGCACTCGTTCCTCTTCACAGCTCCGAGGAAAACTAGGAGCTTTATTTGGAGATGGCTGCTTTTATTTTGGTGGATCATTTTGTGTTTGTCTTCAGTCCTGGAATCTGTCTCCAGTCATGAAGTCTGTCCTCAGTGTCCTTCAGTTTTCACTGCTGGCCGTTTGTTCAGATGGACCACGCTGGCCCTCTCCTGCATGGTCAGAGGGGTACTGTGGGGTGCTGGTGCTGCAGCAGACGAGGCCACGGCTCTTACTGGTGTGTTCATCACTGTTGTCAGAGTTTTGAGCAGGACCGTGGCCTCCTTCTGGTCCTCCTTACCCTCTCCTTCCAGGGTACGGGACAGCCAGTGCTCAGCAGCTTCCCCCAGCTGAGAGGCTGATGCTGTTTCTGTGAGCATGTCTGCCTCCTGGCTGGCATCGAAGCYCTCCACCATCTCCTTCATGTGCACGTTGACGGGAGCGTTGGACGCGGCAGGGCAGCAGCTGTGCTGGTGGATGCACAGGGAAAAACGGTGGAAGAAAGCGTGGCTGCAGAGCTGGCAGCGATAGGGCCTGTCCCGGCTGCTGTGGAGGCGGCGGTGCAGCTTCAGGTGGATGTACTGCGTGAACTTGGTGTTGCACAGCTTGCACTGATAAGGTTTCTCTCCAGAGTGCAGGCGGAGGTGTGTTTTCAGGTTACTGGTGCTGCTGAAGCGTTTGTGGCACACCTGGAGGACAGGAATTAAAAGGTTCAGTCTTCAGAGGGTCACATCTTATGGACCCTTTACATGTGACGGCACACTCTTCAGAAGGCTGCTCCCTCCACCATGATGAACGTCAAAATAAACTATGCTCAGGTAAATTCCTGTGCAGCTGTTGGAAGCCTACTATCACTCTTATTTAGTTGATTTATCTGTAAAAGCAGTCAGGGTGCTGCAGGTTCGGCTGCACAAACAGTTTACCTCTGGATGTTAGCAGCTATCAACTGAAAGCACTCAGTGTTTCACAGATTTGCAACAAAGTAAGAAMATTAACATTTATATACWTCYTTATAGTCCTGGAAAATAACTCATTATCAATGTCAAGGTAGAAAATGTTTCYATAATATTATCAATATCCGTCACACAGTGCTCTACACTACGATACCTACAAAACAGAGCTAAAKTGAGCTCAACAGCTGTGGGTGAACAAGTGTCCACAGCTCAAAAAGCTGAAAGAAAAGACTAAATTCAGTGACATGGATATGGTTTGGTCTTTGATAAACTTAGCTTTCAGTCTGCTGTAAGATGTGTCAGAGTGGTACTGACGCACAGCAAGACCTCATCAAATCTGTTCCACCGTCTGAAATGAAGCGCCCTAAAAGTTGAAGCCCTCTACCTGATACATCCCTCTACCTGATACATCCCTCTACCTGATACATCCCTCTACCTGATAATCCCTCTACCTGACACATCCATGGTTATACTAAAACAATCCAATCTGTTGAAGACCCTCCTCCCTCACGTCTGACGTCCATCAGGGCACCTCCAGCTGATTAGCTGACCTAACCCTAGCTGTGACGGGTCATTCACTGAACTGAAGAGTTCTTAGTCATCACTTTATGATCCTGTCACTACAGTATCAGGAGATAAATCCAGGTCTGTCCCAGCTATAAAACTGGAGACACATGTCTTTTTCAGAAACAAGTAGCATGTTATCATCACACCCACACAGGCAGGTTAGCAAACAGAAAGTCTAAAGATGCAGTTTTATGACAGTGCTGTGACTCAGTGAAACTTACTGGTAAGGTGTGTGTGCTGTAAAGTGTCTGCTGTGTGCTGTGGGTACCTGACATTCATGAGGTTTCTCTCCCGTGTGGACCAGGTGATGTTTCTGAAGGTGGGCCAGCTGAGTGAAACTCTTTTTACACAGGTGACAGTGGAATGGTCTCTCTCCACTATGAACTCTCAGATGGACCTAAAAGGAGAAGAAGTCTCATTTCTGGGTTCTGCTGATGGGTGGAAATGTTTGGTGTGTTTAATTGGAGGAAAAGGTACCTTAAGGTTTGACAGCTGTCCGAAGGTTTTGGAGCAGATGTTACATTCATATTTGATCTTTCCGTTCTGCTTCTTTAACGGGTAAGGCAGGGATTTGTGTCCAGGGCCGTTACGTGGGGCTGTGCTGCTCTTGTTTGTGTTTAGGCTGAGGTTCATGGCCTCCTCTGGGTCAGATGGGGATGGTTCTGGATGGTGATGATGATGATGTGTGTCAGGCTTTGCAGGGGGAGATAGCTCTGGGGTGGCTGGGGTGCCTCTTAGTGGAGAAATGTTTGGGGTTAGTTCTTTGAGGCCTCCCTGTGGACATGCAGCAAAAGGAAAGGACACAGGGAGCAGTTTGGGGGTGCTGACTGGGGGGTATTGGAGTCCATCTGATCCCAGGTAGCTGTTATATTGGAGGGATCCTCTAGAGGGGAGCATTCCAGGGAAAGGAGGAGAGTAAGAGGGTACGAGGAGGCGGGGATAGTGAGGTCCATACGGAGGCAGGAACTGGTAAGGAGGCTGAAGAGGTCTGGATTGAGAGTAGATGGGGTAGGAGGAGACAAGCCCCTCCCTGTGGCCGTAGAGGCCATGGAGGTGAAGGGGGAGGTGTCTGTGTGGTGCTGACAGGGAGGGGTGGTGATCTGACAGATAAGGCTGATTGTAGCCCAGGCCTGGACTCTGCTCGGGCTGCTTCTCCATCTTCCTGCTGAAGTCCACTATCTGCTCCTCAGGTGTATCAGGAGGCGTGTCCCTCACCAACATCTCTTCATCTATCTTCTCCTCACTCACTTCCTCCCTCTGTTCATCCTTTGTTCTGTCTCGGAGCCAAGTCTGATGAGGTCCCCTGTGTTTGCTCAGCTCTTTGTSGCTGCAATCTGCAGAAAACAGACCGAGATTCAGGAGTAAATCTTTATGTGTAAACATGTACAACATGGTTAATTCAGCRGCCTACACAAGGCACACCTTATTATGGTAAATGATAGTAGTTTCACTTTTAACATGACACATCAGTCATAGATTGAAGGTTTCTGTTTGTCAGTCACATGAGTACAGTTTCTTTGGGAGAGGTTTGTGGGTCTGCTTTATACAAAACCTTTGTGAGTTTTGTTTGTGAAACCTTTTCTGGGTGTAGTGTGTTACCATACTGACCACAAGAAAAACATCTCCTCTTTCTCTTTTCTTGTTTGTTTCTCAGTAATACAAACTGTACACGACTTTATTCATGTTCTGATCTGTTTATGACAGACTCTGTGAGTGGGTCACACAGCTCTAAAGTTCTGTTACAGCTGAGAGGTACAATCATAAATAATACAGAACAAACAGAGGGTTTGTGACTGAAGCTGTAACAGTCTGAACACAGAGTCAGAGGTTAGGGTTAAACTTACCTTAACCCTAACCTTGACAAAACCAACCTGAGGATCAGACCCTGGCCTTACAGATGGTCAGAACCAACACCAGACCTGTTGGACCTGATGAAGAACCTCTGCCTGGATGTCTCTGGATGAATGGGAACATATCAGGTGTGTGATGAATCATGTTTCCTCWCATCAGTCCGGATGTTGAAAGTTTAACTTTACTTAATGATGTTAAACAGCAAACAGGTGAGTCACAGGTGTGACAACCTCTCTTCTAACAACAATCTGAGTTTCACTTTGAAACAACGCCTGAAGAATCTCAAACAGCTTCAATCTATGTGACGGACAAAGATCCTATCAGGGGACCAGTGTTCTGACTGTAGCTGACTCTTAGCTGTAAATGTGTTTTATCAGCTTCTAAAGACAAMCAGGATGGATTTCACTGAGTCAGATCTTTACCTCACAGTTCAAACAGGCTGATCCTTCTCTGGGTTTCACTCTGTTCTTCAAACACATCAACAACCCTGAACCCTCTCCCTAACCTTTGTCTCAGTCGTTCTTCAGACAGATCAGAACCAACTACTACAGCTTGTTTTCTTTGTAGTTTCAGTCCTTGTTTGCTGCAGGGCTTCTGGTAATCAGAACTCACCGTGTCTGAGCTGGTCCTGCTGGCTGCACAGCCTCTGCGAGAACTCCTGGCTGTACCACACCAGCAGCTCCTGTTTGGACTCCACGGCTCGGATGGTGTAGAAGTAGATGTCTGAGCCGTTCTGGCAGGCCACCAGGTTCTGTTCTGCCAGGGACTGAGCCGGGTTCACATAACGCATCCAGTTGCTCTTGTGGACATCAAAGCCATCGATGAAGTGTTGAAGCTGCCCGCCACTGTAAATCTGCAGAAACCAGAGAAGAGAGAGACGAGAATCAAACAGTGGGTCTATGAGCAACACCAACAAACCCAACTCTGATACCACTAACCAGAGCTTTGAACCAGTTTGGTGTTGACTCAAAGGTAAAACCAATCAGAATAATCACCTGTGCCATGTAGCTGTCACACCTGACTCTGACTGTCACTTCTGTTCTGACTCTTTGTGACTGTCTCACTGCGTTTTGAGGTGTGAGCTTTGACATTTGGAGGTGGAGCCTGCTAAGTCACCACTGCCTCTTTCTGCCTCCTTCCTCACTTCTTCTGTGGTTTCTGACTCATTAATTCATCAACTGCACACCACAGGAATCACAAGTTACAGTCCTGCCTCTAAAGAGAAGACCAGCAGCAGTTTGCTTGTGAAACATTAATGAGATGAAAGTAAAGCGAGCTGGCAGGGAGCCAGGCTGTATGCCTCCAGCAGCACGTCAACCTGTGTCACATGGCTGATAACACACTGACTTTCACTATTGTAATGAGGCAGGAACACCCCTGGCAGCTTTACAGGAAGTGAAGCCTGAAGGGAAATACGTAGGACAGTGGCAGAAACTCCTGCTGGGAGTTGAGTCAGCAGAGGAGAAAATTTCCTGAATGATACAAGCAGCATCAGAATGACAGAACTGGTTAATGAACAATGGGATGTGAGTGGCAGGAAGCCTCTGATTACTGGAAGACTGAACCCTTTATGTGCTGCTGCCACTCACAACTTCCTGTAAAATGTACAGCAAAAGCCCTGTTTGTGAAAGCAGCTCTGTTTTCTGTGGTGTGATCAGAACTTCTCCCAGGCTCAGTTTGTCCCTGAGACGGTCCTGATCAGATGTTCTCATGGATTCACCTGCTGAAGTGTCTTACCCTCCAGAAGTACTTCCTGTTGGCCTCTTTGGGAACGCTGTCTTTGGTGTAAATGTCTCCTTGCAGGGGTCCGAAACGAGTCCCCTGAGGAATGTACTCTTTGCTGAACACACCTGTCACCTGTAAAACAAGAACAAGTCATCAGCATACAGTTTGTTTACATCCAGCAGGTTGTTGACCTGTCTGCTGTGTCACGTTAACACAAACTGATTCCAGTAAAGCCCACAACATGACCCAGTTTCCACACTAACCAGCTAAACCAATGAGGAGACTTAAGACTTTCTCTGACCTGCTTCACTGATCTCTGACCTGCTGTAGAGTCCTGCAGGGACTCTGCTGCTCCTGCTTACCTTTCACACAGGCTGCTTCAAGACCTGACAGCCAAGCTTTCAAATGTCCTGCTCATGTTTAAATGTCTGATCAGGATCTGCTGCCTGGTCCACAGTAACACACAGTAACACACAGTAACACACAGTAACACACAGTAACA